ATGCTTTGATAAGTAGTATTAAACTGTTAAAAATGACGAACTGCTGTACCAGTGTACCATCGGTACACTGCATTTTTCAATGGAAAGTATCGGGGAATATCACTGCTCTAAGTAATTTTATATAGTAAGTAGTTCAAATCATTCGGTATACCTGAAAAAATACTTTATGAAAGTTTTAAAATAATTTTTCAGCTGTTCCTATGAATTTCTCTAACATTTAAATTAATTGAGATTTAATCGCAGCTGGTCCTTCTTTTGTTTTGATTTTAATCCCATGTTATTTAAATGGGCCAAAATCGTACTTTGAGGGCTTGCCAAGGGTTTATGGTTCAACTCACCGACTTGAGACCCTCAAAAGGCACATCTACACGTTAAGGGCTTTCAAACAACATAAAGAACATTAAAATTGAGCCAGTGGTTTGGGCTGTAGGTCCGTCAACATTCAAGGAGAAGGAGAAGGAGGAGAAGGAGAACACGGAAAATTTGTGAATTTTCAAACTAGTTTTTCTTGGCTCAAACACAACAGTTTTTTAAATTCTTTTTTTTATTTTGTTGAGGATGAGTGCCCCTATCCAATAGATGAACAATTATTTTAATAGCTTTTGTTTCTTCAGAGCTATAGACGAGTGAAAAAGCCACTTTGTCACGTCAAGTATATATACACTGCAGCAGCTGTGTACCGCTGGGGGACTTGGCGGGGCGGAACGCTGCCGCGTTCCTTAATGTAAATGAGGTCAAAACACTGTGAGAGTGGTCAAATATGTAGTTCAGCCCCTGAGATCTTAATGCGGTTTAAGTGTGACTGAAAGCTTTTACCACGTTGACTATTCAGCAACCCAGTCAACACAGAGGTGGAGCGAATCTTACTACATTCCTTTACTAGAAGAAAATATTAATTTCAAATAATATTCTTAAATACGACTCATATAATTCTCGGTAAGTACTATTGTAGATTAAACATACTCCCTTAGGGGGTATGTTTAATCTATGGTACTATTTGATTGTGGGTAGCCAAGTGGTTACATCGCCTAGATGTGAAAATGCTGGTGTGATCCCAAAAAGTGTTTCGGGGTTGATCCTAGGCCCAGTTGTCATTTAACACTGGGCTATCAATTAATGATGCTTTCTGACAAAAGTTTATCATTATATTTTAGTCACAATATCAGGGTATGTAGGCCTACAGTCTCCTTGACTAAAAATGTTAAAAACTCTGATTCCTTAAGATAATTTTGTGAGGAAAATTTCCAATTTGGTAATCACCTATCCTTATTTACTCCAAATAGTAATCTTGAAACAACTTTGTTAACAATAGTTTATAAAATAGGCTTCCATTCCATTTGATGGACATATATTATGATTTATAAATTTAAAATAAAACCAGGTAATTATTATACTCCTTTCTTGGACAGAAAGGTGTGACTCCAACAAATAAGCATTGTGATTTCTCTGTAAGCTGATTATATATACTGTACATGTTAATCTTTATATGAATAAGTAAGTCGTTAAGGGTTACCGTTTTAAGGTCTAAAAAGTGTTCACGAATTAGCTTTTATTGAACTATTTTGATTTAAGTTAATAAGTTAAGTTGTAAGGTATAAGTGTGATTGTGACACCATTCATGTAGAATCCAGAAATTTTTTAGCTGAAGGGCTTTTGTCAACTTTTCAAAATCTAGTACGTAAAAAAACTAGATTTACAGAAACATCAACGATGTTTTTATAGAGCTACATGTACTACAGGTAGGCCTATACTTAAATCAAAATCATCTAATACTTTCTTATTAAATGGCGACCATACAAATTTTTAAGCCAAGTATGGATGGAGATGAGTGTAGAATGAGTGGCGCTATCTTGTAGTGTTGTTAGTAACTAAGGCCGACATATTCCTTAGACACAGCTGTTAGTTAATAGCCCATACAGCTAATGGCAACTAAGGGACCTACAGTTTATAGTGGAATCCGAACCACATTTTTGCCTTGGTATATACGAATTGGTCTAATTACCAGGATAGTACCGCGGATAGTCGTAGTACTCACTCGTGCGGACGTTAATCCACACCAGGGAGTATCGCATCCACAGTATGCATCTAGGTCGTGACGACAAACTATTTGGTAAGGAAATAATCTCTAAGACTCATTGTATGAGTTTCCGCTTCATATGACTGATCCAAGACTTGCCCCTACTAATACAACAAGGAATTACACAAACGCCAGTCCTTATAGGAAACTTACAATCTATCTATTGAGCGCTGTTGAATGGGAAATTAAGAACTTATTATGGCCAACAAACTTAGATATCTTCAAGATGTTGCTCTTGTTGTATTTAGCAATAGAATAGTTGATTCTTGATTAGGCCAATAAAAGAACATTTTATAAAGATGAATGGTAGTTCTTAAAAATGATTTCTTTCCGGCGAGATCATACTAGATGGGTAAGATTGGGACAGATAAAACCTCAGTAACCATTGGTATAAATCTATACAGTGGATCTTCAGAAGAGTTTTAAAATATCTCTCAGCAGTACAAGACAAAGGGTAATTAATTAATCATATACACTCAGGCCGACAAGACTACCGTATGAGTAATTTCCAGAGTTATTAGTTAGTGAGGATGGTTCCCAGGTCAATTGTGTTCAACTGTGGTGCTAAAACTCATACAGTCTTATAGTATGAGTCTTATAGTCCTCGGCATCATCAATCAACACAGACCATCCACTCATGTATCATCATCTCCATCATCATCACCCGACGACTTTAATGACTATTTTTCTGGTATAGCTGTTAATATAATCTCTGACCTACCTCTGTTACAGCCTAACTCAGTTGACTACCTCTCGGACCTGACCCCAACTGTCACCCTTAGAAATTGGAAAAAGGTGAGTGAGAAAGATTTGATTAAGATAGTACACAATTTTAAGGATTCATTTAGTCAAGACATCAATGGAGTTTCTAGTCATATTCTTAAATCTGTATTTAAATCGATTGCTGCCCCTCTTGCTTATTTAGTCAACAGCTGTTTGGCCGAAGGTGTTTTTCCCGAAAACCCGAAGATAGCTAAAACCATACCTATCTACAAGAAGGGTGACCCGGCACAGCCCGCTAACTTTCGGCCGATATCAATTCTTCCTGTTTTCTCTAAGGTTCTGGAGTCAGTAATGAAACAGCAACTGGTGGCCTATTTCGAGAACAACAACCTGTTCAACGATTCCCAACATGGGTTTAGGGCCGGACGATCCACAACCTCTGCACTCCTTAGCCTAGTCAAGAACATCTCTGATGCCTTTGAATCAAATGACTCCCTCCATCTTAGTCTTTGTGACCTTAGCAAGGCATTCGACGTGGTATCTCATGATATCCTTCTTACCAAGCTTGGTAAATATGGCGTCACTGGAGTAGTCCACAAATCGTTAGTCAGCTACTTAGAAAACAGGAAACAAATTGTTTCGATGCAGGGAGCCTCCTCTAGTATCAGACAAATACACCACGGCGTCAGTGTTTCCATTCGCGGGATTATTATCCCGAAAACGGGATTTTTAGACCTTGAGCGGGATTAAAACGGGATGCGGGATAAAACGGGATTTTCGGCTGTGACGACTATTTTAATTTTTTTCCATTTAATTTAAGAGAAAAACTAACTCAAATTGATTGAATACTGTAGTAAAATATAATAGTGATGTTTAAACAACCTTATAAACATGATACGTCAAGTATTATACTAGGTATTGTACAAAAATAATCATGCGGGATAAAACGGGATTTTTCACAATTTTAAAGCGGGATAAAACGGGATTTCTCGACCCAGTAAGCGGGATTATTTTTTTGGTCGTGTGTAAACACTGCACGGCGTGCCCCAAGGATCGATTCTGGGCCCTGTCCTGTTCGTCATAATGATCAATGATCTGTCCTTAAACAGGCGAACGCTGCTCTTTGCAGACGACACAACACTACTGACCAGGCACAGCAACCTGAACGACCTGAGAACCGAGGCAGCAATTCTGCTGGAGGAAGCCAAGGAATGGTTCATTTTGAATCGTCTCAAAATCAATGACGATAAAACACAATCCGTCACGTGCACTCTCAAACAGGGCATCGAAGACGAGGCGGTCAAACTGCTAGGTTTCTGGATCGATTCCAAACTCAACTGGAACCTCCATGTGGAGAAAGTATGTGTTAGGCTAAGTAGAATATTATATCTGATTAGGAAACTTAAGCATGAGATCACACGTCCCTACCTAGTCATAATGTACCATGCTTTATTCCATAGCCACATAAATTATGGACTGGGGGTATGGGGCCATAGCCACGCGACCCAGAGTGTGCTGTTGCTTCAGAAGAAGGCGTTAAGGCTAATAACATCCTCCGGCCCTACCGACCACTGTAGGCCTCTTTTCAAGGAACTTGGCATTCTATCAGTCTACAGCCAATATACGTTAAACACCCTAGTCCTTTTGAGAGAAAATATAAACAACTTCTCAACCAGAAACATGCAGCACAACTATGGGACCCGCAGAGCTTATGACCTGGATGCACCCCGTTGTCGACTTAGCCACACGCTTAATTCATACCCATCTCTAGCGATAAAATTATTCAATACGCTACCGACAACCATCCGGACCCTAGAACCAAAACAGTTCAAGTCTGCACTTCGCCAGAGCCTAGTCAGTAGGCCCCTGTACTCGATTAAGGAACTGATTGACGAACCACTCGCCTTTCCAAAAATCCGAGTCACATCCGTCAGTTCAGATTAAATTGTATATATATATATATATGTTTATAGTGTTTTATAAGTTTACTCTTTTTTTTTGACGCAGTCTATCCAACTTTTGTTGGTCAAAGATGAAGGAATCAAGTATTCAAGTATTCAAGTAAGTATAGTAGGCCTACTAATTTCTCTCATTTGTCCAACATCTAATCCTAACTAGATAGAAACTAATCAGTTAATTTCTAAATTAGGCCTGCATATTTCGATTTCCAAGGATCTTAAAAAAAACTAAAACCCATAAATAACATAAAAATCATTCAAGTATTTATTTGACAAGTTCCATATAAAATTAAATAAGTTTTACCTTACAAAAATATAATTAGCCTAACTTTCTGTTTGTACAACACATATTATAAAACATTTATTAGGTATTTGTATAGGGTAAATCTATATAGCTTATCTGGGACACATAGCATGACGACCTCCATCAACACACAAGTTTACTCCAGTTACAAAGCTCGACTGTTCGCCAGCCAGAAAAGCGATTGCTTCGGCCACTTCTTGAGGGTTTCCTGGACGACCTAAGGCATGAGTTTCTTTAGATCTTTCAAGGAATTTCTTGTACGCCTCCTCATCTACACCTCCTCTTTTCTGAAGCTCTGTAATAATAACACCGGGATTCACACTATTTACACGGACTTGTTTGGGGGCTAGTTCCAAAGCAACACATTTGGTAAACTGATCAACTGCTGACTTTGACATGTTATAAGCGAGCAGGCCTGGAAAGGATCGTACTCCATTGACACTAGAAACATTGACTATGGTTCCCTTGGTCTTTGTGAGATGAGGTACAGCCAACATCGTCAAATGATAAATGGCTTTAACATTTGTGTTAAAAACCCTATCGTATTGTTCTAAGGAGGTATTCTCAATTGATCCAAATTCCAAAACACCAGCGTTGTTTACCAATACATCCAGTTTGTCATAGTGCTTCACAGTAGACTCCAGGATGTTTTTTGTATCTGATTCATTTGATAAGTCTCCAATAATCATAAATGGCTTGTTTTTACTCACTTTCTCACATTCTGATGCTACTTTTTGTAAGTTTTCTTGGTTCCTACCAGTTAATGATAAAAATGCCCCAGATTTGGCAAAATGCAGGGCGGTTGCAGCACCTATCCCTGAACTTGCTCCTGTTATCAATACCACTTTACCAGCAAACATTATGGATCGTACTGTATCCTGACACCTTAGAACTTTCACTTTAAGTGGGTTTTCTAATAAACAATTAATTCAACAAAGGTTAGTCTGGATCTAGAAAATGTGATTATTTTTCTAAGTTAAGACATAGGCCTACTTTACTAATCCTAATTCAAACACTGATAACTTATAATTTTTAATAATGTATAAAATATTGCCAAAGTAAGTAATCGACAGCATGCATAAAAAATTCTTTCAAGGCAACAAATCAAACTAGCCTACTTCTGTCACTTGCTCACTTTGACAAGACAACCTCACCTCACATCTTTCACAACAAAGCAAAACACGACCTTCTAGTCGAAGGAGGAGGTGCAGCTGTCGCGCATGCACACAAGCTGTCACTGCTATTTTCAAAGTAGCAGTTTCAGTTTTGAGAACTTATCACGTTACTTCCCGTTCCCGGTCACCACACCACACCTTGTAATGTAACGTTGTAACCGTTGACGGAGGGTCCACGCATACTCAGTTTGACCTGATATTAACGGACAGCATTAAGCTAAATACCCCCGCCGCAGCAAACCTGCAGACTTAGCGAATTTCCATTTGTCTCATTGGATTTACACTAAAATGTCTCCTTAAATATATCACATTTATTCCCTATTTAAATAGAATTAGTTTAACGAGTACTTAGGTTTGCTGCAACAGGGAGGGTAAAAAATTGTTTTTTAATGTAAAATGTTAATAGGCCTAGGTACTGTAGTTTAGTAAGAAATTAATGTATTTTCCAAATTTGATCAAAATATGTTCATAAATAAGCAAACTACAACAGTTGACTTATTCTCCATAAGAATAACATGGGAATTTTAAAATTAAAATTGAATTTTCTCCGCAACTCTAAGGCGCATAATAACGCCTCAATATACTAAATTATTTGTTTCTTTAAGCTCTACAAAATGATTTGGAAAGTTATTGTAAAATTTTGTGTTTTTAGGGTAAAAAATGGGAAAAACCCCATTTTTACCCCATAAAACCCCCCATAAACCCCCGTTCCCATAGTCCGATCATGCTGGTTTGCGAACTCATTCAAGTTTATTATGCTTTACACCTTTAAACCAAATTTCATCAAAATCGGACAAAAATTACTCAAGTTATCGCGTTCACGGACACACATATATACAGGGTTGGTTAGTAAAAAGTGTGGAGACCCCTTGTTATTTTTTTAACAGCCCTTACTAGAAAAACTAAACTCGGCACACCATTATGGCATGTTATGAAGTACTTTTTGGGCACAACCGCCACTTGGTGTTCATCCCCAAAATGGGGGATTTTGGGGGAAACTCAAATATTTCAAATACAAAGACCCATCGAGTGACCCCTCCTTTTGAAGATCCTGGTAAAAGAAAATCATCAACGCAAATTAGAGGTCTGTTATTGATTTAATTTATTTTACAATAAATTAATTTTTAATTTATTTTACAATTGTATTTCATTGACACATCAGAAGCAACTAATATACGACTCCAACGGAAGGAAAACCAAGATATAAAACAAGAAACACTGTTAATTTTAAGTAACATAAAATTTATAATTTTAAAAACATATTTCGAATATTTGTCTTTTTATTTATGGTTTTTTATTGTAGTCTAAATTAGGGGCTATGGCCCCTACAGGCCACTAGTATATATATATATATATATACATATATAAAATTTTTAACGAATGGTGTTTTTGGCCTCTGGGGACATCAAAATGAAAAAGTAAATCGGTCCCGGGTCTAGGTCTTACCATGCCTACCCCCATCCATGCCCAGCCATGCCTAACCGAAATAATTCTAGCCTAGCCGCACAATTTGTTATTCAGGATTAGTTTTGCCAACAGTGTAATTTGGAGGCTTCTGATTGACTGAAGGTTTACTAATTGAAAAATTAGTTTTGTTCATAAAATAAAATTATAAATGCCTCAAATTCAATTTTATAATTTTTTATTATGAAATTACACTGTCATAACCTAACCAAACCAACCAAACGTGCTGATAATGAAAAAACCAAAGAACACCCTGCAAACAGCTATAACAGTTACACGGTGGCCGTGGAACGGAACTAAAAGTTTATAACTACTACTTTAAAAATAACAGCGACAGCATGGCAGTGCTTGTACGCATGCGCGACAGCTGCACCTCCCCCTTCGACTAGAAGGTCGTAGCAAACCACAAATTTACGTCAAAATCATGTGACTTTTACTTTTTGTCAGCTGACGTGGGTAGACAGGAAACTGCAGTCAAAGTGAAACTCAAAACGAAGAGGTTTGAGCATTGGTTAAATATTAGCTAAGATAATACTTTTCATATTAGTTTTCAAGGATCCAATTTCTTCCTGGTAGTAGCAGAAATAAAAATTACAATAAACGCTTACACATATTCATTACACTGCTCATAAACCAACTGATGACTATTATTTTGTGCTGTGGATACGTTTAATAAATGCTTAAGCGTATTGCAATCATATTAAACGCTCATCGAAACAAGCTTCAGGCTCAACAATGACAAGAGAACTATAATTAAAGGTTATTTATATTTGGTATGGTGTAGTACCATTGATACGGTGGGCAGATTTTCCCATCCTTGTTAGTCAGTCGTGACGTCATCGTTGATGCGATGCAATTATCGTACTGGTATCGCATAGCTCCGCAAGTCAATAGTCGATATCGAATACCCCTAATTTACTTTACTTAGAGAATCGCTGCGCTGAAACGAAACGCTTCCATCTTCTTTCTCGAATCTTGCTTCCTTGCTTGGTTAGGTTCAGGACTCTAGATTCTCGTTCTTTGGTTCTTTCTTTGTTTTTGTTTGGTTTGATTGCATGTAATGTCGACAAGCGTAACAAAAGAAAAGTTGTTAATCTTGTTTTCAGATATAACTCACTCTAGTCTAATTTTTAATTTATAACTTACCCGTACTTAACTTACGAGAAGTTGTTTTCTGGATAGGCCTAGTTTAAATTAAATTATACATTTTTATATTTAAATGACTTAAGTATTAACTTAGGCCTAGGCCTATTAGAGGATTTTAAATGGAGGCAACAGAAGATAATAATGACGGTGATCAAGTGGAATCGAAATTACACTTTGTTAATACATACGACCAATTTCTGCTAAAATTGCAAGAAACCGAAGTATCTACGTATAGCAAATTTGTTTGCAGGCGTGCTTGTAAGCAGGATTTTGGCCATAACCTCAACCTGTATAATAGCTTTAAGTTCTTGTTGATCTTTTACTTGGTCACAAAGCCAAGTCCAACTTGGGTATAAGCTCCTTATTACCGATAATACAATTAGATTTGCATATGAGCGGTAAATTTAAATTACAGACCGTTCTATAACTTTAGTTTAAAAGGGGTTTCTACTGTGACTATCAGAATCATACTTCATATTCATAGATTGTACTGATTGTAGAGAAACAACCTAAACCTACAACCATAACCATGATGTTAACGAATTCGACGCGAATAACGATCAAATATCGATAGACGATATTTAGAACTACATCGACTTCCCGAATCGATCGAATCAACGATGACGTCACGACTGACTAACAAGGATGGGAAAATCTGCCCACCCATTGATACAGTCAATGGTATTGGTCATGGTATTGGTAGTGTAGTACGGTAGTACATAACAGCGGCCGTGATAACAGCTCATGTTAAACTGAACAGCGCGACAAATTTAATGGACCAGTAAGCACTAGATGGCAAGGAATGGTATATTTTGACTATACAATATAGTAGGCCTGACATTTACTATGTTCTTGATAAATAATTATTCTGAATTGTTATTCCCTAAATACCACCTTGTATTAACTATTCATGTATGTAAACAAATTTTGCATTACCATTCTACGTTTCGCTTTATCATCCAGTTAGTTGGTATATGGTAAAAAAAAAACTATCGTCTGCAGCCAGTGCAGCCTGCAGTGTCTGTCTGCCCTAATAATAATATTTATTTTATTATTATTGTTATTGTTATGTGTGGAGTCTACAACATCACCAAAGCTATGTTTGCCATAATTTTATGTTAATAATTATTTTGCCTTATAAATGTTATTTTATGTTCTGAAAAATTTAATGTTTAACATATCATTTAAATTCGTGATGATATTGGAATTTTACAGTTCTAATGTAATTTGGCCCATGTCATTTTGAAGGTTATGGGGTTTAGTCTAAACACTTTTTGTTTAGCCTAATTGAACTTCATTTTGCAATCGCACAAGTCTTAAGCTTATCTCTTTTTCACTCTTTTTTGCACAGGACTCATTTTCTGTAAATATAGAACATTTGCTTTACAGTAATAATTTGTAGACCATCAGTTGAAAAACATTCATGATTTCTAAGGTTAATTTATTTATTTAACAATTTCTACTAATGATGAAGACTGGTATGTTAATCATATCACATCCAAATGCTGTATACAGGAATTTACCAAAGTTGATATCAGAAATCAATAACATTTTATATATACAATACTTCCCACTTGATAGATGGAACAAAAACATCACCTTTAAGAGTGTTAACAGCGGAAACATCAAGCCTAACTGGCCAAACTATAGTTCATTGGTCATTGGTCTTTATTCTAAAGTGTTGTCATACAAACATTTAGATGTACGGATACTTCTTTCTGGCACAAAACTGAAAGAAAAAGAAAAGGTTATTACCAAGAAACCTATTGATTTTGTTTGTTATGATGAAACATTCAGAAAAGATGATGTTAACAACTACGTTTCTTCCTTTGTTCAAAATAAGGTTGCAGATTGCCAAATTGTTGCTTTAAGTAATGACAACAGCTGTGAAGTAGGCCTAAATGATAATTGTATAGCAGAAGTAGAAAACATACCATGTAACATTTATGACAACGTCGTTTTGGGTGGAACTTTTGATAGACTTCATTATGGCCATAAAATATTATTAAGTGAAGCTATCCTGAGATGTCGCAAAAAAATTACTGTTGGAGTCACTGACACGCCAATGCTTAAAAGTAAGTAGATAAGTTCATACTAACTTAATTTTATACCAGGATTATTTTCTTGGGCAGAACTTGAATAAGTTAGGTATGCCTCTCCACCAGTTAAAATTACTGCTATAATACTCAACGGATTTTCCATATAGAATGGTCTTAGAAATTTTGACAGTTTCATATTAGGCTATCGGACAAGTCATTTTCAATAAGTTAATTTAAGATCTGCCAATAACTTGATAAAAGTGCTATGAGAAGTTACGAACTTGATAGTGCGAGTGAGGTGGAGCCCCGGGGGTCCAGCTTAAAAACAAGTCCTGTAAGCCTTCTTCTTACTGAGGACACAACCAGTGCTCCAACATGTCAAGAAAGGCTATTCCTGCAAGGCATAACAGTTTTTCTAGAAAAAATGGGCTGTTTACTTTAGTTTTTTATAACGCTCAGAAGAAATTACACTTACGCAAAACCCTTTCTTCAAAAGCATGCTGCGGTTCAGATGCCCAAATGTGGACATTAGGCTATGCTTGTTTACTTTTTGTTTCTAATGAAAGGTAGCTGCTGTATCACTAAATACAGTACGGTACCTACTAGATCACTGGATGAGTTATTATCTTACAAATGCCCTCTTTAAATTATCACATATCTCTTTGCCTTTTTTGATCCTCATGACTCAACCTTTGACGCAGTTTTAGTCTGTATTGTCATAATGACAAGTATTTACGTTAAACCTTCAAAATTGTAGATTTTGGTAAGCCAAGTTTCGTGCTCTGTTTGTTTATGGTACCTACTAAGACAGCAGACAAATATGAAAATTATTATTATTTTTTGTTATTACCTATTTATTTTTGTCTAACTGACTTTTCTGAACAGGTAGATGATAAATTAACTTACCTATTTTTAAATGTTACAGCAACTTTTATTAACTCTTGCAGCTTAATTCAGCATGCCTGAAGTCCTACTACCTACTAACCGTGAGGTAGGGGGTACGCCGTCAAATATTAAAATTTTTGTAAAATTTTTTGATTTAGTTTTGTAGAAAAAACTTTTCTGAACTTGTAGATACCAAATATTATAGAAAAAAAATTTTAAGTTTTACAGTGACTTTTTTAAACTCTTACTTTAGCATGCCCAAGGAGGTCCGTGAAGTTAGAGTACCCATATTAGCGCATCCACTTTTGTTCATACCAATCGTTAGTTCTCGATATTTCCCCAAAATTTTTGTTAGTTATATAGTAAGTTATATAGCCGATAATAAGTAGGTACGCTAACTTCACACATCAGTTTCTAGCGTGCACCGTTTTCTGATGAAAATGCTCACATTTACCATAATTTACCAAACGTTAGTTCTCGATAGTTCTCCAATATTGTTGCTTAATCTCAAAAAACAAAAAGTTACGAGGCTTAAAAAAAGGGTAACTTACGCTAACTTCACAATTATACAATTTTCGGCGAGCACTGTTTTCTGACGAAAAATGCTTAAAATATCTACCACTAATCGTTAGTTCTCGATAGTTCCCCAATATTTTCGTTAGTTCTCAACAAATAAATAAGTTACAAGGCATAAAAAGTGGGTACCCTAACTTCACAATTTTAGAATTTCCAGCGGGCACCATTTTCTGATGTAAAACGCTTACCTATATAATACCAATCCTTAGTTCTCCAAAAATAAAAAGGTTATAAGGCATTAAACTGGTTACACCAACTTCATACCTAATAAGCTTAATACAAGATGTTTATAAATGATTTATTAGGTATTTCTTGGTTTTTTAGCGTATTTCCCTTTAGGGAAGTATAGTTATTACCGTAGGTGGCACGGTAAGACCTAGGTCCGGGGCCGATTTACTTTTTCATTTTCATGTCCCCAGAGGCCAAAAACCCAATTTGTTTAACTTTTTATATATGTCCATGAACACGATAACTTGAGTAATTTTTTTCCGATTTTGATGAAAGTTGGGTTAAATGTGTAAGGCGGGATAAACTTGAATGATTATTGCCCTTAAATTTATATATGTAAATAAATAGCCTATAAGTTACTTTATGTTACCATAACTAATATGTCCTGTCCATTGTTATTTCTTTATGAGTTAGTCTTAAATATAATTTTTTTGGTTAGGCAAAAAGCTGTGGGAATTGGTGGAGCCTTGCGAGCTTAGGATTCAAAAAGTGAAGGACTTTTTGGAGGAAGTCGACCCTTCGATAGAATACGACGTTGTCCCGATCAGTGACATTTACGGTCCCACCAAAGATGATCCTACATTCCAGGTAAATACCAAGAAACTTAGTGCCTAAACAAAAAATCGCCCACAACTAACTGCTGGATTCAAATTCTTACGTTTAGTTGTTTTGAATAGCTTCATAGTCAAAATACTGTGTTGTTATTTTTATAATTTAATGACTATACAACATTTTAGTTGTAAGTTAGGCCAATGTTCTGGTTTGTAAACTCACAAAATATCCTAAACTGTCGTATCATTTTTTGTCAGTGTTATTTAGCTAAGCGCACACTGGGTTGTGATGGCAGGAACGGACAGTAGACCTACAAAAAGCATTTTTTTTTAATATTTTGATATTTATCTATGTGTGTGTGCTTTACTAAACTGTTGTAGTTTACTTGTTTATGGCTGTATTTTAATAAAATTTGTTTATTTCATACTAAGCTATCAATGTTTTGTTTCAATAAAAAAAACACCTCATTATCTTCACTGAAGCAGCAAACCTAAGTTCACAGCAAAATTAATGCTACCGTATTTAAATTGGAAATAAATCTGACAATTTTAAGGTTTTTTGTGGAAATCTAAAACTGGAGATTCTTTTAGTATCTGCAGGTTTGCTGTGGGGGATTTTTAAAATGATTTTTGGTCCTAAGGAAGATTAAAAAAATCAAATTTGATAGTGTTAATAATTGGATATAATCACAGACTTGGGCAGATGTTCTAAATTCAAAATTTATCCTTGTAATTGATGAATGCTGCCACAGAAAGCATACTACTATCCGTGGTATGTTTTCTGTGATGCTGTATGTATTACAATTATTTCAATGTATATTTAAATCAATTACAATGAATAAAACTCAGCTGTAATAGTAAATTAAGATAACTAACGATGTTGTCCTTGTGGTCCAATTCTAGATTTAACAGACTGTTATAATGCAGATTGAGTTTGATGACAAAACAAGTTCTATCAGATACTTGAAGTAATCAATTGGGAATCGTTTTTGATTAGCCAATGTAATTCAAATAATGTCAATTCATCCCTGCCTATTTCTTATCAATTCTGTGAGTTTTTAGATTTGAATTGTGTGTTATTTTGGTTTTCAAAGCATGACAGTAACTTATTAATTTTATTGTTTCAATGTAGTTCTAAACCACATTCCAAAAATATTAGGTATCTCTTATTTTCCTTGCTTAAACAGTCTTTTTGGCAATTTAAGTATTAGACAAATTAAAATGATTTGTTATTGAACTGTTATCTGCCAAGACTATCACAAACTGTGCAATTCGTGTTTTCATCACCCATAACCTCAGAGTTTAGTAATATTGATTATGGATTTCAAAAGTTACTTTGCATTGGTTATAAATTATTACTGAGTAATTGTTATTGATCTCTGTAAAAAAATGGAAGTGGGTTTTATTAGTTGTCAATGGTTGTATTGTAAATTAAGAATGCAAAATCAGTGTTAGTAGGTTAGTAGGTACACATTCATTCACAGATGTTTTTCATCATGAGTTCGGTGATGTTCATTGTTTTTTTTCTAATTTTAACAGACTTCTAAACTTAAGTGTAGAAAACATTGTACATAAACATTATTTTTTACTTAGAAAGAGTTTTTAGCTGTCCAAAAAATAATTATTAATAAGAACAGTTAGTTGGTATTAAAATCTAGTGCTGACACTGAAAAAAAAATTCCATTAGTAAAATTATAAAAAAAATTGAAATGTATCTAACAAATAGAAATAGGCTAATTAAATAATAGACCAAACCAAGAATTGACTTTTTGTACAATTACCTGACAAAGTGGGTTTCTTGCACTGATTATAGCATGCCAAGTAGCTAATTGGTGCATTTACTTACTTTTGCCGCACACATTTTTTTGCCCGGACTCCAGTATTCCAACCAAACAACACAAAACTGTGTGCTTTTATCAGGCATGTAATACGTGTACGCTTGATAATAAGTTGGCAACACCTAAAGACACTACGGCTACCATCAGCTGGTGCAGCGTTTTCCATTTCGTTCAACCCTTGGATTTAACCTAACCTAAAATCGTGTTGTAGAGTGTTTGAAAGAATAATTATTTAGGCCTATAGGCTTTATAGTAACTGTAAGAAAAATATAATGTGTAACGTGAGTGCAAAGTGCTACTTCGCTCACTGACACTAGTTACACAAATAACTAATTTACAGCATTTTATTACAAAGAGGTTAGCTACATATTGACATTAGGTTTGAAAATTCGCTACATGAATATCTCAGCAACGTTTGACCTCTCTTGTGAAATTTTTCTCGGTATTTAAAAAATGTAAGTTGGAAAAATATTAAAAGAAATATAAAACATTAATAATAATTCTACACATATTTTGAAGGAAAGTAAAATCAATCTTTACAGCTAGAAAAAACTGAAATCTCAAATTACTGTGCAGAAAGTGAAGTACTGTAACTACTGAAGTAATATGCCTAAATGGAAAAAATAAACACCTTAATCTATAGTATATTTCACAACTTAGACTCGCATGTAAAACACTATGATAAATTTGGGACTTTCATGACGAGTATTTAACGATACGTTTTATCACAATGAAAAAAACTACTTAATCAAACTTAAAAAATTATCTGATATTTCGTACTGTAATCTATTCGTTTTTCTCAGATTTAATCGTGTTTCCTAACTATTTATTCTAGTCTAAATTTGATATTAATGCAAGTTGTAAACTCTGTTAATAAAAATTGTATTTAAATAAATCAATTTTCTGTTATCTATTTTACTTAAAAAACAATGGTGCTCGCTCCCTTTGAAGCTTACCGTGAACTTCAGTTGTAACTTTGTTGATGTCAGGCAAAGTATTGTTTGTGTAGCGAAAGTAATGCTTATATCAGGAAAAGTAATGTTCATGTCAGGAAAAGTCAGCTGATGTTTTTGATGTATGGAAATTGACGATTTTCAAAGATCTCAGCTGTAAGCATAAATTTGTGAGTGCAATTACGAAATGCAAGAAACCCCTAATATTGAATGTCCATTAAAATCATAAAAACATAGAGGCTACAGTAAATAGATATAAATCCAAACATTTATTGTTTTGTAGATGATAGTGGTGAGTTCAGAGACAACCCGAGGTGGTTCAGCAGTTAACCAAGTGAGGGAGGCCAACGGTCTCAACACTCTGTGTATACACGAGGTGGGACTCCTCGTTGACCCCAACAAAGAAGATGAAGTGGAGGAAGACAAGATCAGTTCCAGTAATCTGAGGTTGCGCTGTCTCGGAACACTACTTCGCCCTCCTCAGGTGATCGAATGAGCCTACTTATTTTGTTAAACTATTGTTATAAGTAGATTACACGTCAAATAATAAATAAGCATTACACTTTTCTGATTGTAAATACTATTTTTAGGCTGTATTGATGGGTTTCCAGCTGTAATGGCTACGGTTCTATTGATTTTGATAAAAAGTGACTAATTTTTTTTTTTTTTTTCAAAGAAAGCAGTCTAAACTTCTCAAATCTTTGTAGTTTAGCATGGAATCGAACCTATCCCTCGCACAAAAGTCTAAGATAGTAATAAACATGAAACGTTTATGATTTAAAATACTAAATTTGGGCCGTCCTGATTGGTTGAATGACCAGCTATACTGGCTGTGGTGATTAGTACATAGATTTTACATCTATTGTCTTGCAAAGAAACATTTTAATAATTTGCATTGGCTTCTTAAGTCTATCCATGCTTTAATAGTGAATTATTTTTTTTTATCAAATTTATCAGTACAAGCATAGTATTACCTAGAGGTAAACAAACAGTAGTATATGTATACTCAATGGTACATGGAAAAAAATAAAAAATACAAGGAAAGGGAATGCAAAAGCCTTGATTTCACAAAAAATATGTATGTAGTAGACCCTCTCTAATCCGGCACTTCGCCACTCCGACACACCAGTAATCCGGCGTCTTTTGACAGGTGAGATCTTCCGCGATCGCGGGCAAATTCTGATTATCTCCCACGGCCAAGTAGGCATCATCATCCACTCCCGCGTTCACAAACACGTCATTGTCGTCTTGCGCTATCGCGGTAAAATAATGAACATCTCCTGCGGCCATTTGGACGTTATCATCGCCTCCCGCAATCACGGAAACATCATCACGCGCGATTGTGGCAAAATCATGAACATATCCCGCGGCCATGTAGACCATATCATCACCTCCTGCGATCACGGCAAAAACATCAACGTCGTCTAACGCGATCACGTCAAAATCATGAACCTCTCTTGCGGCCGTTTAGACGTTATCATCGCCTCCCGTGGTCACAGAAACGTCATCACATGCTTTGGTATGCAGTGGGCCCGTGGAAGGCCAGTGGTAGCCAATAACAACACTACAAGTACTTTTGGAATTATTTTTACTAATTGGAAATTTGGAATTAATATTTGGACTAACATTCCCAACTCAAATATTATACTAGTAACCATAATATTGCTACATTACAGAAAATAAAAAAATATCTAAGTTTCAATCAGACTAAAAAAAATCATTAGTTGAGTTTGAAAATTGTCCTGGGTAGGCGAGTGGTTTAAGTGCTTACTATGTTTACTATGACCCAAAGGTCGCTAGTTCAATCCTGAGAAGTGAGAAGCAGTTTTTGAAGTGTTTTTAGCGAATTTCCCATATAGGGAATAAGCTATTACCGTAGGTTTCATGCCAAAAACACCCTCCGTTCAAATTCATATATATATATGTGTGTCTGTTAGCACAGAGGTGCCCATCCCCCCCAAACCCAGTGATGCAATCCCCCCCCATTTATGCTGCCCTCTATTTCAACCTACCCTCCCCCCTCCAATTTTCCTGGCAATCTCCCCTTTACCATATAAAACAAGCTTTCAAGTCTTTAGTAAACTTGAGGTAAAGAAAAACAACTTGCTGATAATCAAAATTATATGTTAAATAGGAAACGTCATTTAACAATACTAAGTTATATCTAATTAATAGACGAATTATAAGTTTTTCAATTTGCAATTTGAATCTGTACTGTCAGCCAACACGTGCTCAGTATTAAAATAGGTAACGTCTTCAAAACGTTCAACAATATACTCGTTGAACTACTCTACTCCAACACAGTACTATGTAACTGTACAATATATTAGGTGGTGTAAATTTTTACAGGGCTTAAGAATTCAATTAACTTGAAGTGCACGAACAATACTTTGGCCAAAAGTATCTTGTTTCAAAATTAGATGACGAAATAGGGCAGACAAGGAGGGGTTGCTCGCCACTTGCAGGCTGCCTTCTACAAAAATCACCGGGCAAAATACTCACAATACCTTAATTGCAACCAGCACCTTAAAAGGTTTTGTGACGAAGTAATCTTATAATTCATTTTGATAGCCCTAGGTTTGCGTTTTATGGCTAATAATGGTAGTGTTTTGGCGGTTCTTTAAAAACTCCACCATCGTCAGGCTTACAAAAGGATCTACTTTTGGAGGTGTCTTCATGGAATATGTTACAAAGATTAAACCAAAAACATGAAACGATAAATAACATATAGGCCTATCAATTCACGTGTGTACATTGCCTCAGGCAGAACTGGATGATCATTAATCTTTTGATAATTTATTCTGGCTAGAAGAAGCAGTTTGTCATTGTAGCAAACCTACCAAACAATTTATTTAACACTTATCTTTGCTTTAAACTATCCACCCTAGTGTAAATACTGTAAATACCATATAATATGTCATAAAAATAAAACCAGGCATATAACTTTTTATTGCCTTCAAATTTTTTTTACATTTAATTTAGAAAAAAAATATTTTTAACTATTTTGGTATACATCATATTATTTGCTAAATGTTTTTTTTCAGCCTAACCCTGCCATTCCAGAATCACCTTACATTGTTGGTCTCACAGGAGGCATTGCCAGTGGCAAGACTAACATTGCAGACTACCTGGCCACCCTAGGTGCCGGGGTGGTTAGTTGTGACAAGCTAGGCCACGAGATATACAGGTATTGTGGGATGGGGTTAGTCTTGTACCATAAAACATTCAAGTTGATGTGACATAGCACAAGTGCCTGGGTCTTGAAGATTTTTATTTGGATAGCAGCTGAGTGGATACAGAGCTCACTTAGTAATCAGAAGGGTATGAGTGTAATCCTGGGAAGTCAGAAGCCGGACCCAGTTGTCATTGGTTTGACTAAGGGTCCCTGCTTAAGAATCAGCTGATCTTCGTTGGTAACAAATTTATCTCTTTCAACTCTCCTCTTTTCCTTAAAACGTGCACCCTCGTGCATCTGTGTTGCAGAAATCTGAACTTAAGCAGGAAATAGGAATAAGAATATTTCACTGTCAGCGTCAAAAATCTGTTGACAGAGTTTTACAAGGATATTCATCGTACAACCTGAAATTTCCTTTGAAATAACACAAGTGTTCTTTTGCCGCAGTGTGGGGAAACCAGGGCATACCCAAGTTGTGGAGGTGTTTGGAGATGGAGTCTTAGATGCTTCTGGAGCCATTGACCGCAAAAAGCTTGGAGCCATCGTGTTCAGCAATAAGGTTAGAGATTTGTTTTGTAGTGTCTAGTGCCGTAAATAAATTTTGAATTTTTAAAAATTACCATTTGGTTTTCTTAAAAGAGTTTGCTTGGGAGGGGAAGTAAAAAGGGATCAAAATGATGGTGTATTGCCAAAGAAAGTGGTGAATTTAAGCAAAAGGCTGTTACAGTAGAACCTTGATAATAAGACTCATTAAATAAGACTTCTTATCAAGGTTGACTCCTTATTGAGGTTTGCATAACATGTGATTGAGGGTAAAATAAATTAAAGGGGATATGAAAATTACACTTGTTATCAAGGGTGACTTGACTTGTTATCGAAGGTCTTATCAAGGTTCCACTGTATTTAAGGAATATGATTTTTCAATAATGTCATAACCTTTATTTTTCGACAAGATTTTTCTTAAAGCAGAATAATATTCAGTTAGTAGTGAATTTCCCATATAGTATATAGTAAGTTATTACTGCACCCCGAACCGATTTACTATTTCATTTTGATGTCCCCCGTTCTGTACAACCCATACTGTTGTTGATATAATGTTTGACTAGATTACTCTAGTCATCTTAATATCAGAGAAATTTAAATCCACTCTGGAGACGAAATGTGTTTTGTGTGTCTTCTTAGGCTGCGGCTACACAGGGGTTTTTTTTCATTTACAAAAGCAGTGTGAAAACACCCAAAAAATATATAGCCTAAGACCTACCTATACTACATACTTTTAAAATGAGCTAGCTGCTATCCTTTCATTCTATTATTACATGTCAGTGTTTTAGGCAAATTTTGTATCTTGACAGCAGAACACTTTATCCCCTAAGAATATTTCTGTTTGTGCAGGAGAAGTTGCAAGTTCTGAATCAGCTGTTGTGGCCGCTGATACTGCAAGAGGCTCAACAGAGTGTGAAACAGCTGTATTCTCAAGGTCATAAGGTTGTGATTCTGGAGGCTGCTGTGTTGATATCAGCTGGTTGGCAGACTCACTGCCACGAACTGTGGACCTCTATAGTGCCTCCAGATGAGGTAACCACTAGTGAGACGTTATTGCAAATGCACCATTTAAATTCAAACCTTTCATATGACAAAAATTGATTATTTAAGTGTATAAGATATTGTTTAGAAATCAATTAAAGTAGAGTAACACATCTATACCCAAATAAGCACAAACAAGATTGTAAATTACAATTGTTATTTTTTAACAGGCCTACTTTAATAACACTTCACACTTTCAAATATTTGTGCAAGATTGTTTATTAAAAACATTCAAACCCAAACTAACCTTTTTAGGGAGGCCATTTTGACACTAATTTATTGTAATTATGTGTTTGTAAAAACAAATGGGATTTTCCAAAGAATTTTCTGAATTTATAATCTGAAACATTCTAAAAATTAAATTCATTTGAAACACAACTCATTTGAATACCATAACTTATTGCAAAAATGCTTGGTAGATACCTGATTGCTAACTTATATCCTCTGGAAGCGAGGTTTAAATTATTTAACGTTCTTAAATCGTCTACCCATTTGATCGGCTTATCAATCCATTTGTTTGCAGGCAGTAAAACGAGTCATGGAAAGAAATGGATTGACTGAACAAGAAGCAAGGGCTCGGGTGGAGGCTCAGCCAAAGAACACGGAATATGTAGAGTTAGCTAATGTAGTGTTGAGTTCCCAGTGGAGAGTGGAGTATACCCGTAAACAGGTTGACAAGGCGTGGACTGGGTTGCTGACAAGGTTGGGGCTCCACACATAACACAGGAGGTGAGTAGGTCTATGTTGTGCATAACTGATGATACTAATCACTTTACTGTAACAGCTCAATTTGTATCAGGGGTGTGCGAGTACTCGTAGGGGAGCTCAGTAAACTGCTCGATTCAAGCTTTTTGAAAAAAAACTCGAAGTGTAGGGCTTTTTTTTATACGTGATCGCCAGCCGGCTGTTTATCGAGTAATGATACCTTAGGCCCCGTTTATGCACCAAGAGCGGGAGCGATTTCTAACACCATTGAGTTAAATGGGGCTGTTTATGCACCAAGAGCGATAGCGGTAGCGGTTGACCTCCCGCTGCGGTTTCTAAAACGCCCGCTGTGTAGTTAGAAATCGCAGCGGTTGCTTGGAATAGAGCGGTTTTCAACTACATTGAGTCAAATGGGACTGTTTATGCACGGCGGGAGCGGCTGCAGCCAGGGTTGCCAACCTGACCCACGCGCACTTAGGACAAATAGTTGTGTTAATTCTTTGGCAGAGTTTGAGTTGGCAAGACTGTGTCCCCCTTCCATTCTCCGTTGACCAACCGCTATCGCTTGCACAATTTTGACAAAATTTTTACAGGGCTAACAGGCTTACAGGGCTTGGTGCATAAACAGGGCCTCACGTGCCTCTTTCTAGTAACAGATGGATCAATACAATAGTTTTATTGATTACATAAGGTACAGTTTTATTGAATATACATGGCTTTAATGTGATTTTTTATTAATATATGCATAAAATTATATTGTTGGCTTTGTTTAATGTTTCACTACCCCGAAAGGACCTCCTTGTATCATCAATAGTGTTTTAAAATCAAAGACACCGATGAAAGGATAAAAAATACTGAAATAAAGTTTTTGAAACTGAGAAGAGAAATATAAATCTCAGACTCGTGCACCCACTGACATACACGTTCTTCTTGATGATACAACTATTTGCCCCTCCCCAAATGTAATGTTCCTTGGTTTGATTCTTGACGAGAATCTCAAATTTCACAAGCATATCGATCACGATTCAAACAATATATCTCTAGGGATTTTCATGCTCCGCTCTCTTAAACATAGGGCCAAACACATATTACGTAACAAACTTAGAAAGGGCAAGGGTGTATGACTTAGCATTATACGCTGCCTTATATGGGGGAGGGGGGGGGGGGTTCATTACGTAACGCACACATTCCTCTTTAAAATACAAAAATAATCACAATGATATCTAATGTTTAATTTCCAAGCTCATTATTAAATGAGCAAATTATTTAATGAACAATGATTTACATACACTCATTGGTCTTTTCATTTATCTGGAATAAATTGTATTCCCCCTTACATTATTGTTGGCGGTTGCAATAATATTAACTGTAAGACACTGAAATTTAAACATTTTGTAACATTCTTTTTACATGAGCATCAATATAAGTTTAAATTTGTTTTTCAAAATGATCAGTGAACAAATACTTTTAAAATTAGGTATCACTTAACCTAGGTACCTTTAAACATTTGATAATTTTCCAAAAACTAACCCCCCCAAGAGAAATCTACATATATGGGAGATTTAAAAATAATTCCTCCAATTTTTACTGGTTTAAAATAGAGGGGATTTAGTTGTAACTAAAGATCTACCTCATTTAGTTTGGCCGCTATATATTGTGTACGGGCGGTCTGCCTCACCCTAGCATAAACTTCAAAAAGGAAAAACAAGCCGTAAATAATGTTTTTCTGTTCCAGGACGGATTTGTCAGCATTTATGTGATACAGCTTTTATATGACTTCACGTCTAGTACAGTAATAATCATATAGCTTGTTTGTACTTAACCTTATTGAATATATATATATTACTGTTGAAATGGTTGGTTATTAAATAATGCTTTATTTTCATAGTGTTCATTATCCTTACCAAAATATTTCACCCTTGTTTTTTAAATAAACGTAGGTCTTCAAATAGGTTAGGCTTACTTTATTTGGCTACAAAAGTGTTATTCGGAAAATGTCATCCAGCTACACAATTTGCTCAAAACCCAATGGAAATGGTTAGGAAATTTAGCGTTTGAAGAACCATTTAATTTAGTAAACCAGCTAGCTACCTCTAAGTCCAATGAAATCCACATAGTACCTTAGACCACAAACAAGAACATTTTTAACAAAAGGTGAAATAGCAAAATGAACTTTTAAAAATTATTTTTATTCATATAAAATATGGGTTTTTATAAATAAAGATTACAAATTACACAATTTTTAATACAAACAGATAACTAGTTTAGTTCAAATCATCGATTGTGGGTTAATATTATAAGTACATTGTAGAATATTGAATATTTTTTAAGGTTCAATTTTTTTTTCTCAACATCGCTTAACCTAAATAAACTTGCAATTTTGACTAAATTTGTAGGATATTACAAGTTAGGAAACAGTCTAGCCTACTCTTTTTCATTGTCCAAACTGAAAAATCAGTTAATTAGGCCAAAACTGTTAAATATAAAACAACTTAAGGATTAATTGTCATAAAACAAATGTGCTAAAATATAACTCTAAGTTTAACAACAATTTTGACTTATCAATTCATAGGCTATGCCTTAATTGGCAAGTTCTTATCTAATAACCTACATTGTAAAACAGTCGCCTTAACAATAGGCTAGGCTTTTGATATTGAACTTGCAAACCCCGACTAAACAGACGCAAGTTAATATTTGAATGCACTTTAAGTAGTCTATCCAAATGTGTTTTACATTATTTGCAATAAAATTAATGTATTTAGGCTACAATGAAAGTGCAATGCATCCATGACCCAATTTTCAAGCAACATTATAATGTCCCTGCCTGTCTGCAATGCATTGTATAAAGAAAGTGGTGCAGTGCAGATAAATTTTGACAGGCATTTAATCTAGTTTTCCACCTTAAGAAATACCAATAAGACAAATTGCAACTAACTTGGTTGGTATATTTTTACATGGTGTTAATAAAGTTTAATTGCTTTGCCCTTTAAAATAACCATGCTAACAGCAGAGAGTTTATGGTTGTAGTAGAACATTTACATATTTGTTCGATTCAAAACTATATTTTCTTTGTTGCACTATCAATTTTGCAACCAGCATATAGCCTAGGCTATGTGTTAGAGGGCTTAAGTTGATCGATTTGGTAGCACTAAGTCATTGCTATTTATAAAAGCATAGCCTTAGATATAGCGAGAGGTGAATTATACAGTTTTGACAGATGGCAGATTTCAGCTGATTAGACAGTTTTGTATTCAGGTTATGGGAAAGGTTGTGTTTAACCAAGAAGCGTATATAGGCCATTTAGAAGTAGATATTACAGTAACGATACAAGTTACTTTATATCCGGATAAGATAATGAACAGTAGAAATAGTGATGTATTAGGCTATTTTGTGTAATAAATAAAGGATTAGGCCTAATTGTCTTGAGGATTCAGTCAACCCCAGCAAAAGAACATTTTCAAGAGTTAGTTAAGTTTATATCCTTTATTTGAACTTTAGGAAACTTTGCTGAGTAGGCCTAAGTTAAATGGGCCTATCTGAAAAACTGATGTTTTGAGATAATAGCGGTTAAGTTTAGGTTATGTTTGGCTGTCTGCATTGGCAATGTCTATGCTTAAAGGGTGTGACACCAGCTGACTTTAAGAGTCGTACACGAACCAAACAAACTGAAATACACCATTCCAAATTATCAAAGATTACAATAGAAGACACGAAGAAGCAAAATAGTGATTCTCCTTTCAAAGGGCCTGTCCTATGTTTTGCACGAAAGGCCTTGGTTAGGTTGTGTATGGCTGCTGTCAGTGTTAAGTTAAGCCCTCGTGCCTATGCTGAAAGGGCAAAGGGCCTAGTGACACCAGTTGACTTTCAAAGTCATACGAATCAAACAAACTGAAATAGGCATAACACCATTCCAAGTGATTATACTAGACATAAGAAGAAAGTGAAAAAGCGAAACTAATATGTAGGGATTAGGATAAGGGCCCATCTCGACTTAGGCCCCTTTAGCAGCTTCAGCCTCAATTAATAAGGTGACCTTAAGTAATGGTAACTTACTGCTTGAAAAACAAAAATAAGTAACTTGTTAGCTAGTAGTAGACTACACTACTTTGCACCCATCTCCTAGGCTAACTCCTTTTTATATCTTGCAATTAGGCCTAACTCATGAAACCATCAATGCTCTCTTTGTCTCTCCTAACGTATAACTTATGATCCTGTTGTATTTAGGCTATTGTGTGGTCAATAAGTAAGTTAGGCTAGACCTTTTTAGGGCAACTAAAAAGCATGAAGAATAAAAACTATGTATTAATTTAAGCAAATGTATTATGATTAACTTAATACTTTATTCAACAATATATGAGTAAGTTAGACCCTAATTAATTATTTTCCTAAACAAATCAAATATTAATAAAGGAGAACAATAGAGATTAGGCCCAACACACTTTTCACTTGCCAAGAAAAATTTTCAGCTTGACAGGATAAAAAAAAGATGGGCCTGTTAAATTATTAGAACAAAATAAAGGTCCAAGTTATAACATACCTTAAGCGACTTGTAGACATTTTGAAAACTAATAATGTAAGAATCTAGACTTCTACTTTTTATAAGAAAACTAATTTGAGTTTATCAATCGTCATTTAATGATACAAAAGCCACTGTAGGGCAAGGAACATAATGAAACATTCAGTCCAATTTTGCTTCTTCTGCAGCGACCTTACATTCGAAGGATCAGGTGCTTGAAGTGCTCGGCTCAAAATGTAATGTCCTCTGGTCACTACACCGACACACACGTTTACAATTGAGGCAAGATCCACCACTAGTAACGAATGCGATGTATCCATTGAGTATCATGATGATTACTGCTGATATGATGGGAAAGTAGAGCGTTGACTGTGTTAACAAACTGAGGCATGACACAAATAAGTGACTTCCGATGACCCATGAAATATGGAGATATTTCTTCTTGTCAATGGCAGCAAAGAAAATAACACCCCAGAAAGTGTGCAAAAGGACGAAACACATTGACATGATTGCAGATGTAAGGCAAAAATAGTTCCGTCCACCTTTTAGACCCATAGTAGCTGGTCCAACTAGTTCTGCAAGAATATTTATAAGAGAAAAGGCCCCACTCATGATGCCAAACCCCAATCCTGCTACATAAGCCAAAATATGTTTGTTATTGGCAATTTCTGTATTGGTATTTGGAATGGTTACTTTCTTTAATCCAGCCTCTGCTTTCCTCAAGAGGACATAGATTGAGTACCTAAACAGTTCTTGGAACAAAACAGAACATACGATTCCAAAAATGAGCAATGACTTAAAAGGGAACAGAAACCAAACAAATGATGAGAGTAATAAGGATACCAACCAGAAGAACGCACTTGCAATTAAAATAATAATTCTAATTGGGTCAGACATTATTGTGAAAATAAACATGGCAAGGGGAGGCCCGTAAGCTACTCCAGCACAGCCTATGAACTCCATCCAAGTCATTTTGAAAAATATTGATGCTAAGTAAATAACAAAATAACCCAGTACAATCTGTGTTAAGTTTCAGTCACTTAGAAAATGTATCTTGATTCTTAAATAGTATAAACCATGGAATGGAACACGCATAAAGGTTATGTACACAGATTTCTCACTTTTAGATTCAGGTGACACAACTAACACTAATGTCTTGTGTTGTATATCGGTATATCTTCGAATGACACTACTTCACTACTAGTAAAAAAACTACCTACTCTATTCTCATAATTTTCTCTATTTTGGCATATTCTTCGTAAACTCTTCTCTTCTTAGTTCACTTCACGGATCGGAATTGGGCGAAGAAGAAGAAGAAAAACATCACTCACAGAGTGGCACTCACAGTCACAATGGAAAAGGAATTACAGATGTTGAGTCTGTGTCGTCGTCGTAGTTTATTATTAGTCATAGAAATATAGAAAAAAGTGTTGCCAACTCCAAACCCATTTCATAATTTACCTAGAACACTTATCCGTAGATTATACATTTCCATGGCAGTATCTAAAGTCAATTCCTTTACTTAGCTTATCTCACATTGCCAATTCCTCAATCCTTATCCTCGTATTGACAGTTTATGTCCTTGTACTAAAATGTTACTACTTAAAGCTTAAAGCAAAGACTATTTGGTTACCAACTAAATGACAGGAGGCCTATTTGATAATAGGTACATGTAAAGATAATTTATAGTCAACCATGCAAACAATCAAACTGTAAATAAATAAATTAATCATAAGATATGAAGCTTAATCTACTAAAGTCGTCTTACATCGTTACTATAAAGATATTTTATAAAAAAACATAAAGAACATTTATCCACAGTTATATGCGACAAATAAAACCATATGATTTATTAGAGCCTTATTATGCGCGGTCACTCGAGTGGCGTGCGACCGCGACTGCTCAAAGGCCACTTTTAGCGGGCCATGTTATCATATGGAGCTTATTAAGCGACGCGACTGCGGTGGCAAGGCACGCGACAGTCGCCGCGACTGGCCACTCCAGTCGCGCACCCTCGCTAATATGCATTGCTTATAGTCGCGAGCCCACGCGACTGTCGCGTCACCAGCGGGCCATGTTATCATATGCTGTTTAGAAAACAGCTTATGTTTTATATAGAAACAACTATTGTAGTAAGCAACAGGATACCAACACCTCACTCACGTTATGCACGAGTCCTCTATAGTGTGGTGTGTGGACAGTGACAGTAGGAGAATAGCGACCACGTGTCGGTGACTCACCTGCGTCTGAGCCAAGTTTTGTGACGCTTTGACCGGCGTTTGGGAGAAAACATGTTAATTTCGTCCCCCGTTTCGGACGCTGTTTTTCAACAGATTTTCTTGAAACTTGGCAACAATTTAGTTGAATAGTTATACTACGGCTCTTAGTGACTAAGACTATGTCATAGTGACTCAGTTCTGCTCTGGGTGTAAAATTCTGGTGACCCAAATGAGGACTGCCACTTGGGGCCCAAACAAGGCCGCACTAGATATACCCCAAGCCCAAGAGAATACATGAGCTAGTGTTTGGACCACTTTTTGCTGGTAGAGTTGATTCCGGATAGTGGAATCATTTTATGAGAAAATTTGACCTAACCCCAACAAAATTGCAACACAAGCAATTTTTTTGGTAATGATAGCTATGAGTGTCTTTAATAACCCCTCAAAAATCGCCATCAATCGTACCTTGGCAACAAGCCCAAAAATTCAAAATGGCCGCCAAGAGGGATGCCAAAATATATATTTTGGCATATATCTCGAAAACGGTTAGTTTTATCAAAAACGTTATTTTAGCAAATATGTAGCTCTTTTAATGCCAATCAGTTTTTATAAATGCATTTTGTCTGTCAGACGTATGGTATGGCCGCAATTTGAAGAGCCGTACTTCATTATAATTTGCCTTTTTCAAAAAAATTCAAAATTTTCATTTTTTTATGACTTAATGTTAGAAAATATAAATTGTACGTCAAAATAATTTAAAAGTTGTTTGCTATGTGGTTTCCTACTTATTTTCAGTTTTACTTGGGATTTTATGATTATGAACAATTTTTTTGCATGATTTAAATAATCTCCCATTTTAAGGGATAAGTAAGAAGCCAGGATATGGATATGTAATAAAAAAATATATGTTATTTAAATCATACAATTTTATTCAATACTACCAAAAAAAGATCCCTACATACAATATGTATAACATGAACATATAAACGTAGTTTTACCATTGTGTTAACATAATTTTGCCAAATGATTTAAAAGTTAAGTCAACATTTTCAAAAATACTAATCTCATCGTCTTTTCTTTGTCCAATGAAAACTGGAAACTGTTTTCACTATTGTTTTCTAAACAATGACCACAGGAAATAGTGCAGTTAAATCCATTTTTTACACACACATCTCATTGAATTACAAGCAGTCTTGCAATTGCATCTAATCATTTTTAACAATGTCTCTGGTGTTGCTGGCAAATCCATCGTTTGGGGCACTTACATGTTGTCCTGCAAAGTCCATCATCAGTCTGTAGTTATCATACTATCTTCTGCCCTTTTCCATATTTGAATTTGTAAATAGGCACGCAGACTGTGAAACTTTACTGCTGACTCTGTTGAAGGAAGTTGCTGAGGCTTTTCAAAGCTTTTAGCTTTTTTTTAATTTTGACAAAATACTTTTGTATCTACATGTGTTCATTGATTCGTTCTTATTCCCATTGAACAGACTAACCATTAGTTTCAGACCGATTTCTTCAACTTGATCTGGACTCAGATTTTGTGAGCTGAAAGATGACATCAGACCCTGAAAATACTCGTCTTCTAATGTTCTGTTGAATACAGATAGTTTTCCGATGTGAAAAATCCTCGAAGTAGTGTCGCACCCTGTACATATTTTTTGAAGGGGACTTTAGCTTTGTAGCCGAAGGTAGCTTGAGGAGTTCACGCACTGCATCTTTCACGTTACGTATACCTCATCATAGGAGTACAGCATATGACAGGGCCTTTGTTGTAACTGCCTGCCGTCTTTGGAACAACTTACCTTTATCCATCAAAATGCTTGATAGTCGTGGCGGCACTGAAAAAAATGTACTTTGAGCGTATGGCCTCGGCTGGTGCGTCCTAGGACTGTTTTGGCACTTGCGTAATTGCTGACTGAGTGTGTGAGACTTTTTGTTGTTGTTAGGCATTTTGTCTTCGTTTTGTCAAAAAAGTATTGTTTTTTTGTAAATAATGTGTTAAATTGTATTTTCTATTTTATATTTATAATTATGTATGCAGGTTAAGTGTAAGAAAGGGCCATGTGGCCCTAACTTTGCATGTTGAAATAAAGGATTTTCATTTCATTTCATTTCATAGGCGTGCAGAGCTAATAGAGATTTAGCTAAATCTTCTCGAAGTGAGGATCTAATTTTTTTTAATCGTATAAACATGATCTGAAAGTCGTTTGTCACTTCTGAATAGCAAGTTGTAATTTGTTGTAATATTACACCAATAGATAAGTAAAATAAGAAGCTGTCAGCGACTCTGTAAGACTAAAGGAAAGAAAGCGACTGTGTAAAAACTAAAAATAAGTAGGAAACCACATGGCAAACAACTTTAAAATTATTTTGAGGTACAATTTGTATTTTCTAACATTAAGTCATCAAAAAATGAAATTTCTGATTTTTTTTTAAAAAGGCAGATTATAATGAAGTACGGCTCTTCAAATTGTGGCCATACCATACGTCTGACAGACAAAATGCATATATAAAAAGTGATCGGCATGAAAAGAGCTACATATTTGCTAAATTAACGTTTTTGATCAAACTAACCGTTCTCGAGATATATGCCAAAATATATAATTTGGCAGCCATCTTGGCGGCCATTTTGAATTTTAGGGCATGTTGCCAAGGTACGATTAATGGCGATTTTTGTGGGCTTATTAAGGGCACTCTTAGCTATCATTTAAAAAAAAAATTGCTCGTGTTGCAATTCTGTTGGGGTTCAACACTAAAATGATTCCACTAGGAGTGAAAAGTATAGGAACTTAGTGAATTTTGACATCTCAACAGCACAATACTATCTATGTGTGTTGATACAAAGTCAAGTGCTAGAGCACATAGTGACACACACATGTTATATAGTAACATTATCAATATATCTATATATATGTGTTAAGATTTAACATATTCCTTCAATACTGTATATAGAAGTTTGATCATTCAAAATAAAAAAAATAAAAAAAACACGTGGGTAGTAATGGCACCACAAAAACTTTGAATAGTTAGAGTTTTAAAGTTCAGGGACTGTCATTTTGTACCAAAACAACATATGTACTCTTCTATTCTGCGCCGTCATCTTCACATGACATTTTACATTATTTCACCAACAATAGCACCAAATTTATTTTGAACATTTAAACAGTACCTAAGTGAAGTTGAAAATAAAAAATCCTTCTTCAAGTTTTTGTGCCGTACTTGTGCAGTTTTCAATAAATTCAAAATGAAGGAAGGAAATTCACCAAAAAAGGAAGATCCGCAAAAACATAACAAAGTTGAAGGGAGAACTCACACTATGGAAGAGCAAAGAAGGCGGAGCTATGATATGAAGAGACATTCTATACTGTCTGAAACCCTGGTGTCACATGCACTGAGGGAGGTAGTCTCTGACCACATCATGGCCGGACCTCATGGAGCTCTGCAGCCTGTTACTTCACTGAGCAGTATGCAACTCAGAGAGAGTCAGCGGTCTGGTTCCAGGCACACCGTTCTGGCATTGAGCCTTGCAGATGTTCAGTTACCAGTTTTATTCGAGGATGCCATCATAGAAACAAGCCACGGTTGTTTCCAGTATAAACTGATGGCACTATGTGGATTTATTTACTCCTGTTGTAGCTTGAGCACAACAACACTATCCTTTGTACTCCCAGCAGCTCAGTACGACTTCAAACTAACCTCTATAGACAAAGGGGTTTTAAACACTGCTCCACTGTTCGGTATGGTAGCTGGTGCATATATATGGGGCAACTTTGCCGATAACAAAGGACGGAGATTTGTACTATTATATTCACTTTTGATAGACGCGTTTGCTGCCTTTTCTTCAAGCTTCTGTCAGACATTCACATTATTTTTTATCTGCAGGGTTTTCAACGGGTTCGGGATTATCGGGGCAACAAGTATCGTGTTCGCTTATTTGGGAGAGTTCTTAAATGTCAGTAAAAGAGACCGTTATCTCTCGCGTCTTGAATTGTTCTGGACATTTGGAATCATCGCACTTCCTGTTATAGGGTTTGCGATTCTCCCTCGTGATTGGGAGATTGGTAACAATGTGTTTAGCTTTAACTCTTGGCGGATATTTGTTTTCGCTTGTGGAATTCCCAGTTTCATTGCTGCAGTACTGATTGCCCTTATGCCCGAGAGTCCAAGATTCCTCTACTTCAAAGGTTATTATGAGAAAACAAAAGATGTCCTTGTACGAATGTACAAGTCAAACACTGGGAAAACGAGAGAAGACTTTCCCGTGCAAGTTCTCTATACGGACGGTGATGAGGAACATCACTTAAAACACGGAGCAAGCCGATGGGTCAAAGTGAAACATGTAATTAAAGGAATTTTAAAGCAACACAAAATCTTATTTAAAGGCCACTCGCTTTTTAATATCATCATAACATGTTTCATAGACTTTGGCCTAATGTCAGTGTACTACACGTTCATGCTATGGGTCCCCGAACTGCTCCATCGTCATGCACGATACCTAGAAGCTCATTCTGCTGAGAGTGCGTTCATATGTACAGCAGTCAAAGAACCTGAGTCACTACAAGGAGACGATGAGAAAGTGGACTATCACACTTTGATTCACACATTTATAATCTGCTTTGCCTGTCTTCCTTCAAATTTTATGCTCTTGTGCCTCATACAGTTTGTCAGTAAGAAAGCACTTCTAGTAACCTTCCTAGTGGGGGCTGCAGGACCTACCTTTGCTCTATATTTTATGGACACAGAGTTCAAGCTGACAACGATGCTTTGCTTGTTTGAGGCAATCGCCACCTTGGTCGAGGCAATTCTGTTTTGCGCTATCGTAGAGATTTTTCCTCTCAGCACTCGAGGATCTGCGCTTTCTCTCACAGTTACAGTTGGGAGACTAGGAGCTATCCTGGGCAATATTGTGTTTGGCCTGTCCTTAGAAACCCATTGTAGAGAACTGTTTTTCAGTATGAGTGGTTTGCTTTTGTTTAGTGGATTAGCAGCTCTACTACTGCCCAAGATGAGTGGGGGACACTGAGTATACCTAAAGTTTATGCATTTGCTTTAAGTTAATTTATAAGAAAATAAATAGATTATAAAAGCATCACTAAAGTAAGTTTTGTTTAAGGAAAGACTCTAGCTCATGATTTTGATTTATTTAATGACAGTATGGCAGCTTACTTTAAGATAAGCCATAGGACCTCTTCTAGTTCTTCTAAGGTATCTGTTGTTTGATCCGTTCTATAGTCTACGGTACCTGTATTTCTTCTGAGTTAATTAGCAGCTATGCCTCCATTCTACTTTTCAAAATCATCAAAAGATCATTTTTGGTTCACATCACCTTAATAATGATTTTGAATAAAGTTTCTAAAATTAACATATTTGTTCAATAGCCTAAAAGTTTTGCTGACTCCTTGGGAGTTTTAAGGGGACATTGGTTTTGGAACCCGCTGAACCAAAAAAGGGATTTTCAAAGTGATGTCTATCTGTGTGGATGTGTACAGAGCTACACAGACACATGTAGCCCGATTTTGATGTGATATGGCATTTAGGTAATAATCCATGGTATCTCGCCTCTTTGTTCTTTTCATATTTTTTAAATTTTGATTTTAAATGATGATTTTCCTATAAAAACCTATAAAATGGCGGAAAAAAATAATTTTCTCAAAAATGGCCTGAATGGTTTTGATAAAAATGTAGTATGTTATAGTCCTTTAAATTCTGAACATAATGGTACCACTATACCATTGCTGTATAAATTACGGTTCAAAAGTTATTACGATAATAGGGTTTACATATACCTCCGGCAAATAAATAGTCCAAAGCATCGATTAATATTGTTTAGGTGCTTACATGTTTTGTTGCGAAAACAACATTCTTGAAGCTTGCAACTCGTCAAAGCTTGTAGTGAGCTTTGAGAATGTTTTCTTTGAAACGAAACATGTAAGTTGATAAAAAAAATTATTCATTGGACTATTTAACGGAGCTAAGTAATAGTATATTTCCTAACAAGAGTAGAAAGTGAGTCATTATTTGAGACCATGTTTGAAGTGCGAGATTTATCGAGCACTTTAAATGTTCGAGAATATGTATAGACCCACTTTCACCCGTGTTTTGAACGTTACTTTTTACTACACTACAAAGAATAATTATTTTCTTCATTACAAAACTGATAGGTTATGCCTTCAATTTAAAGTTAACCCTCTATCTGGCATTAGTCGTTTTTCGACCACTAGAACAGGAGTTCTCAGTGGCGCTTGTCGATTCGATTATCGACCAAGACGACATGGGTCGGGTTTTTCTATATTATTAACAGGGTGGCTGAAAAGTAACTTGCACCCCCCCCCCCCTTAACTTTTCAACCGTTTGAGATATTTGAAATCGGTTTGCAGCAACCTTCTTAGATACAAAGGGCTACAATAATTATGGTCAGTTTAGAAAATTTTGCCCTTAGGGGTAGCGGGGGTAGAGGGTAGCTCAAAATTTTCAAATAGCAAGTATAGTCGAGTTTGGTATTATTTTACAGGTCTTGACGAAACATAACAAATAACATAAAGAAAATAGAAATTGGACCATTAATAACTAAGTGGCAGCTAAAAATGATTGAGACAATGGTTATTTAAAGTAATTTTGAACTGCCATTTTGTTATTAATTGTCCGATTTCTATTTTCTTTATGTTAATTGTTACGTTTCGTCATGACCTACAAAATGATACCAAACTCGACTATACTTGTAATTTGAAAAATTTTGAGCTACCCCCTACCCCCGCTACCCCTAAGGGCAAAATTTTCAAAACTGATTATAATTATTGTAGCCCCTCCTATCTAAGAAGGTTGCCGCAAACCGATTTCAAATATCTCAAATAGTTGAAAAGTTAAGGGGTTGTGCAAGTTACTTTTCAGCCACCCTGTATAAAAACCATTTTTAAAGCAATAAATCATATACCATTAGAAATATGAGATTCTGAGGATTCATTTTCATGCATAAAACATTTATTGTGTGAGAAACAGTAGCGAGAAACAAAGTTTGAAAAACTAGAGAGTTTAAAATAAATTTTGGCGGTGGAAAGTTTTGGTCACCTGACTACAAAAACAGCTGTTTTTGGCGATTGTCAATTAAATTGTATACAATATTAGTACATATTCTGAAACTACAATAAATTGCCTACAATTCCCTCTGAATATATGAGGTGTTGATTGTAAAAATTATATATGGTTTTAAAAATGTCATAAAAATTATGTTTTTGTAAAATGATCAAAATTTTACAATGATAAATAATAAATTTTTCAATGAAGGTCGAGACAGACTCTATTCCAACCTCTTCATGTATGTGTTCTAATGAACCAAGGAGCATTCAGTGCTATTCTAAGAATTGTATATTGGATTACTTGAATTTTGAACAGTATTTTTTGAAATAGCTAATCCCCAGATAACTTTGGTGATGCATATGTTAACGGCCGAATTATGGAATTATAGATTAACCCTTTGCGGTCGAATGGTGAGTATAGGTCGCCACCCGCCATTTGCCGACTGCTCAAAAATGGCGACCTACAAGGACAAAAAAAAAAAAAAAAAAAATTCAAAAAAAAAAAAAGTTAATTTTTTGGTCGAATGGCGAGTATAGGTCGCTGGGCGCCATTTTCCTGACTGCTTGAATGACAAGCTAAATTCGCCGGAAAATGTGGAAAAAGTTCTACCTCAAAGGGTTAAAATTTCACAAGCTGGTTGGTTTTAGAGTAGATTTTCTATTGATCAAAGGAAAAAGCTTTGCAAGGTGTGTATAACCTTGGGAAAGTTTTTTATTAACGTGGTAGTTCCAAGTTCCAATTAAGTTTTTTGTCCAGCTATACTCCAAGACATTTTATGGCCTGGTCAGCAGGGTTCCATGGCAGAAAGTTACCATATATTTGAATTTCACATGGAAATGTATGTTTTTTCAAGGAAAATATTTTGGTCTCATATTTAGTTGAATTTAGTTGAAATTTCCACTTGTAGAACCAATCAATCAGAACGTCCTCAGGGTATTGCAGAGAATATGTGGCCTTGAGGATATCGGAATGTTGGAACAGGATAGCAGTGTCGTCGGCGTACAGAGCTAATGAGGCGTCTTCTGGAAGAGGGATGTCTGCCATGTCACAGAAAACACTACAACCCAGAATGCCAACCGCATGGTAAAAAGCGTTAAGTACTTTGAGAGAGCTTTGCCTGTCAATTTGTAGGCAGCGCCACCAGCGAAGCTATGCACTCAGCATAGGGAGTCCTTAGTATGTCCTTACTGCCCCTTTCTTTTTTTCCCCGACACTTATTTACATCTCACGGATTGCACTTCAGCAACAGGGGCAAAATCAAGTTGGCTGGAGTATGATAATGCATTTATACAGCTGACAGAACATTTCAAATCGAGTGGACTCCCTGTTCACCAATGGGTTGTGTATGAGACCTAATCCAACCTGACCATTTCGATTTCATACAAAACCTGGTTAAATTTCAGCGTGCTACTGAGGCCACCATCATCATCGTCTCATACTTTCCAAATTCTACCAGAATCCTGAGGAATGGACTCGCGCACAGGGACTTTCTGAGAGCACTGGAACAATCAGTGGAGAAGTGGACTACTACTTCTCAAACCGAGCATTTGTCGACGGATTTTTCTTCTCAAGTCGGCAGGCAACACCAGTAGCCCACACTTCAAGTCACCTCCACCAACAGCCATCCTCAGCAGTATCATCCAGCCCTGTTAGTCAACCACTGTCAGCTACACCAGAGGTCACTATGAGGTCACAGCAGCCTTCCTCTCCGTCCAGTGAAAAACCAAAAAAACTTGATGACAAACCATATTGTGAGTTCAACTTAATTAAAAAAAAATAGTCTTTCCGTGTTATAGGGTATGTAAAGACCATCATATTTCTTCCTTTTTAAATGAATCAGTACACAATACCAAATGTTTATGGCCAGTATGTAGTGCAGCCAAAACTGATGATACATTTAATTGGTTAATGCATTTGAATATTGAAGGCGGCATAGTTAACAAAAAGAATGAAATAATATTATCTGATTCTAACATTTTGGTGGTTTGCTTAAACGAGCACTCTGGCTCAAAAATGAAAATATTTTTATTTTAAATAGTATTCCTAACCATACCTTAGGACACTTTTATTGCAGGAAGGAAGGAATAGACAATAGACAATAGACAATAGACAATTTTCTTTATTTGTGATTTCTTTAAGAAATACAATGGCGTCAGAAAGATTCAGAATGTTTAACATTTAGATTGTTTTAACAGTTTACATTTTCTTTTGTGTTGAAAGTTCATAATTGGTCAAAAAATTCCTTAAGGGAGTACACCGGTCGGTCCACAAGCCAGTCCCAGAGTTGCTGTTTGAATTGGTTTCCTGTTGCGTTCTTGAGGTTGTTTGGAAGAGAGTTGATGATTTTTCGGCCAATATAAGAGGGTTTTCTGCTGTATTGTGTAGTGTGGTGGATCGGAAGGTTGTAGTCGGCTGCTTTTCTGGTGTGGTAGGAGTGAAAATTCTCATTTCTGGGAAGGTTAAGTTTTTTTGTGTACAGGACAACTCCATGGATGTAGAGTGCTGTCACTGTTAGGAGCTTAAGGGATTTAAATGCTTCCCTGCAGCTGTCTAAGCGCTCAAGGCCGGAGAGTGCCCTGACAGCTTTTTTCTGGAGTACCAACACTTTGTTGAGGTTTGCTTCTGATGTTCCTCCCCAAGATATTAAGCAATACCTTATATGCGATTCTATTACAGCATAGTATGCTGTCTTAGCTGTTTCCAGACCTCCTATCCATTTCATCCTCTTTATTACATGGACACCAGATGCAAGTTTTTTGGTCAGGTTGTGTATGTGGTCATTCCAAGAGAGGTCTTCATCAATTGTCAGGCCCAGCAGTTTTGAGTTTTTTTCAACGGTTATTTCAGGAATTTCTTGGATTTGTTCATGTTTTCGGCTGAAGTTTAACTGGGTTGTTTTTGATGGATTAATGGCCAGGTCATTTTGAAGGCAGTACTGCAGTGCTTTGTCTGTTGAGGATAA